ATTGCAGCGTGGAGTTCGTCCGCAAATTTCTTCGAGCTCACTGGCACGCGGGCCCTCGTGGCGCGGGCAAAGTTCATCTTGCGGGAGACAGCGCGGACGACAGCGTCGACAAATGACGATGAGGCGGATGGCAGAACTCATAAGAAGTTGCGAGTACAATTGCAGCCATGAGCTCCTCCGGTCATTCCTCGTGTTCATTAGCGCGCGGACGCTCGTCGCGCGGGCAAAATCCAGATTGCGGGATAGTGCGCAGAACGGCATCGACAAACGACGGTAAGAATGATAACGACGCTTCCGACGGCAATGATGCCGATGACGGTGCCCCGCATGCTATTATCTGACAGGGATCATGCCTCTGGCAAGCGCGCGACGGCATTGCAATCAGTTCGACATGCATGCGCGAAGGCCTCCTTGAATATGAAGGTTGAAACAGCAGGTGCCACAAGAATCCGCAAGAGCGCGCGAGGTGAAATGTGGAAACCTTGTTGTTGAAAAACCATTGGGTTATGGATGCTTTTGCGCTGAAGCCGCCGCGCAACCAAATAAAGTTTTCGAAACATTTCGATTTGCGCGCGCGTGGCCCGTGTGGTATCATGTAATCGGGATTCGCGCGTTCAGCTCATCCTGGATCAAAACATGTGCACCGCATGGTATTATTTGACAGGGTTGAGGGGGGACCCGATACGGGGACGAGCTGGGATGGTATGGGCTCATACGGTAAATGAAAAAAGGACGCAGAATCATATGTATTGACATATGTAAATTGCAGCACCCCAAGGGAAACTGGTAATCCTGGGGTGGTGTGGGGGGGTAGAACCTCACTTCTTGTAAGAAAATAGAACGGCTTCTAACAAGCGAATTGACACATCCAACGTTCTTGCAAACATCCCACACACCCACCCGCAAGTTGGTTTGCAAAACCCATGCGGTGGCGATTGCGATGAGTGCTTGGCGTTGGCTGGTGCATCTCTGCAGCCGCGCCAACCGAAGCACGCGTGCGCAGCGGCCAGCTATTTTGGCGCGGCCGACGCGGCCGCGGTGGCGCTGACCACTGTGCACATCACAGCGGGCACTTCAGTGTGAGCCGGCGACTCGGGCGGGCGCGGTATCATGGCAACCTCGACAACGGTAGACACGATGATGATAGTAGCGATGCTGGGGACGATATTGTCAACGACGACGGCGCGGCAAGGGCGGGCGCCGATGCTGATCACGCCGTCGACGATGAAAGAGTTCGGCATGCGCGCGCGGCCGGCGCGCGAGTGGCCATCACGGTATTACTTGACACGGATCGCGCCCTTCCCCCAGCACGCGCGCAAGGGCGTGCGAATGACTCCGGCATGCGGCGCCAGAGAACCCTCTGGGCCAAATTCCATGAAAATGCCGCAAAGCCAAAAAGGTGTTCTTAAGAATTCGCATGAGCGCGAACGCACGCTTGTTTGAAAACTGAGGTTACGAACCATTATATTTTCGGTTGAACAATTTTCTGGGGGACGCTTGATTTTGACATCTTTACGAAACCAAAAGGTTTTGACGGATTCCGGCATGCGCGCGCGACGACGCGCGCTCGCGCACTTCGTCCCATTTGTTGCAAAGGATTCTCGCGACGGCACGCGCGCAAGGGTGTTCGAACGACTTCGACATGCGCGCGCGAAGCCCGCTTGGTAGCATCTTCTGAAAATGATGAATTACCCAGTGCGCCCCTACCGAGAAGTTGGAGGCCCTAGGAAAGCAGCATTAGTTGCTATGCTGTGCTATACTATGCTATACGATGCTATGCTGCGCTATGCTATGCTATGCTATGCTATGATGCGCAATGCAATGCAATGCTATGCTGTGCTATGCTAAGCTATACTATGTCATGCTGCGCTGTGATATGCTAAGCTATGCTATGCTATGCGATGCTAAGCTGCGCTAAGCTGCGCTATACTATGTTATGTCATTATGCGCTATGCTATGCTATGCTACGCTATGCTATGCTATGCTTGGCTATGTTTTGCTATGCTATGCTATGCTATGCTATGCTAATGCAGCGCTGCGCTATGCTAAGCTAAGATAAGCTAACCCTCTAGGCAAAGCCTAAATAGGAAATTACACCCATGCTAATTACCCGGACAGAAAACTAAACTGGCAACGCGGTTGGCACACACGAGCGCCACGAGGCTTTGCTTTTGCTTTTGCTTTGCTTTTCTTTGTGTTGCTTGTGCTTTGCTTTGCTGTCGCTGCTGTTGCTTTGCCTTTGCTTTGCTGCTGTGCTATGCTATGCTCTGCTCTGCTGTGCTATGCTATGCTATGCTGCGCTGTGCTGTGCTGTGCTGTGCTGCGCTGTACTATGTTATGCTATGCTGTGCTGCGCTATGCTATGCTATGCTGGGCTATGCTATGATATGCTGTGCTGCGCTATGCTATGCTATGCTACGCTCTGCTATGCTATGATGTGCTCTGCTATGCTAAAGCTCGGCGAAACTAAGATGAAGGTAAGCTAAGCTAAGATAAGCCTGAGCGAAGATGAAGCTAAGCTAAGCTAAGATGAAATAAGCTAAGCGAAGATGAGATAAGCAACGCTAAACCAGGGGACGTAACTGGGGGAACCGCCGGGCGGATGCCGGGGCAACCGCCTGGGGCGTTTTCCACTGCCCGGCCCCTTTAAGCTCTAAAGTAAGAACCCTTCTAGGCAGAGCCTAGGTAGGGAAAGAACGGTGGTACTGTTAAAAAATCGCAAGAGCGCGCCCGCAAGCTGTTTTGAAAATCCGTGTTGCGAAACTTGGATTATATATCTATATATAGATACATATATATATATACATGTATATATTCCCCAATCAGAGATTGCCTCTGTAGGGGTCCTAGCGGACTCATATGGTTAGGTAAATTTGTCGCCGAGTTTCGCTGCACGCCCAAGTGCCCGGGTGCCCGCGGGTGCCCGGGGCCCGGGTGCCCGGGGGGTGCCCGGGGGTGTCCAAGTGCCGGGGTGCGCGGGCGTGCCCGGGGGTACCCTAATATATATATATATATATGTATATATATATATGTGCCTAAGCCCTATAGCCCTAGCCCTATAGTTCAATAGCCCAATAGCCCTATAGCCCTACAACTCTATAGCCCTATAGCTCTATAGCCCTATAGCTCAATGGCCCTAAAGCCCCCTAGCCCTATAGCCCTGATTGGGTTTTTCTCTGGTATCATATGTAGATGTACATGACTATATATATATATATATATATAGATGAGGTCACTCGGTATCGAAACGCAAACGACGCCGAGGGTTTTGAAGGTTTTCGGCATGCGCGCGCGACGACGCGCGCGTGTTCACTTCGTGTTATTTTGTTGACAAAGGGGTTCCAGCAAACTAATGACTCTTGATAAACGAGTGCGCGCGCATAGTATTGCTCGCGAGGGATGGCGGGAGGGGGGGGATACGGGCTCGGCTGGGATGGTGCGAGTTCATATTTAAGATGGACGATGGGGCAAGGTTGCATGGAAATTGCAATGCGAAGAGGGGGGCGTATAATCCCTAGACAGGAAATTAAAGGTTGAGCATTCTATGTGGTGCAATCTAAGTGGTGCGTTTTACATTGTGCACTTTACGATGTTTTACGTGGTGCACTCCATGTGATGCAGCATGCGTTGTGCATCTCATGTGGCGCCAAATACGTTGCGCAGTTCGTCTGATGCAAGCTGCGCGGCTCAATCTATGGTGTGCAGCCGATGTGGTGCAGCCAGAGTGGCGCAATTGATTTTACATATGAATTGACAAATTCCATGCCCTTGCAAACATTCCACCCACCCACCCGCAGCATGGCTTGCAACACACGTGTGGCGGCGATTGCGATGAGTGCTCGGTGATTTGGGCGGGCGCGGTGTCATGGCGACGCCGACACTTGTAGACGCGATGATGCGAGTAGCGATGATGGTGACAATGGTGGCGATGACGACGGAAAAGCCAATGACAGCGCCGATGCTGATCGCACCCGCCGATACCGAGGACAACGTCCTCGCGTCGGAGATGAAGGTTTTTGAAGGAGTCCGACATGCGCGCGCGGCCGATGCGCGCGAGTAGCCCGCGTGGCATTATTTGAGACGGATCGTATCCCCCCAAGCACGCGCGCAAGGGCGTTTGAACGAGTTCGACATGCGGCGCGAGAGGCCCGTCTGGCACAATTTCATGACAAAGTGTGAAAACGCATGGTTTTCTTCAGAGCCCGCAAGATCGCGAACGCAAGATTATTTCGACAACCGGCGCTGCAAGACCATATGCTTTTGTCATGTATTCGGGGAACTCGAATTTGACATTCGAACGAAACCTAAGGTTTGGAAATATTCCCGCATGCGCACGCGACAACGCGCGCGCGTGCATTTCGTCCCGTTTTTGTTGACAAGGGGTTCTTGCGACAGTACGCGCGCAAGGGCGTTCGAGCGATTCCGACATGCGCGCGAGAGAGGCCCAGTTGGTAGCATGCTATGAACAAGGTGAAAAATCCACCGACCCCTTGGGGTCACGGCCTGTGAGATGGTTCCCCCTCCCTGAACCCCTCCCCTGGGAGCCCGGTCCGGCCGGTTTGGAGGGGGGTGGGTGGGGGGCAAAAGTGCTGGAGGTGGGGTTGGTGGCAAAAATGCTGGCCGCACCCTCGGAGCCCTAGGGGGCCCCAAAACGAGCCAAGAGGGCCCCGAAAGGTCCTCCGGACGGTCCAAGAGGGCTACGAGTCGCCGAAAGATCTCTCCGAGATGCCCAAGATTGCCTCCAGACGGCCCCAGAGGCCCACAAGACGCCCCAAGAAGCCACCAGGAGGCGTCCCAAGAGGCCCTCCAAAAGCAAACATCGTCCCATCACCCAAGGGAAACGTCTATTTCCAGCACATTCGCCTCTTGAGCTTTCACGAGGCCCACAGCGGCCCAAGAAGCCTTCAAGATCGACTCAAGACAGCCCAAGAGGCCCCCAAGAGGGCTCCAAGACGGCCCAGGAGGGGCCCCACGCTGCAGACTTCGCAACCCCGGCCGGCCTCCGCCGTGCCGTCGACCTTCTTGACGCGCATCGCCACCTTGAGGCTCGCCTCGCGGGCGGGCCGTGGCAGGGGGCCCGGGCGCGGGGGGGGAAGCGACGGCGGCGGAACCTACAGTAGAGGTCAAACATAAGGAACCGAACTTTACACACCGATGTTTTTTTTCGGCCCCGCACTGAGATTCGCAGAAGAAAGCGGGTTATGGTGTATACGGCATCCCTGGTGTATGCATGTGTTGTTGTTTCCAAGGGAAAACAAAGGAAAAAGTATGCACCACACCACCCCGACGTCGTCCCCGACCCTCAAAAAGTCCTGGGATTGAAGAATCGCCCGCCACTGGTATTGTATATGCTCCAACTTCCGAACAAACAAAAATCACCCCCTATGAAAATCAGCCGGGCACGCGAGGTCGTTTAGTAAACGCGCCCACGGAAGGAATCGAACAGGGCAGGGCCGTTCAGCAGACGCCCATGGCCGTTCAGTAAACGCCACTTGTCGGGTCCAAGTGGCTTCTCCTCCCTTGATGCAGGGTGCAGGACTGCAGAATGCAAGCGTGGAGGGGGACGTCAGGGAGAGGGCAGAGGAACGGTACTGGGTGGGAGATCGGGCAAGGGAGCTGAGGGGGAGCGGTGTGGCAGAGATAGAGCGGGGGAGCGGGGGGGGGGAGGAACGGATGGAGGGAGCCACGTGGCGCGGGGGAGGGGGCTGTGGATGGGGAGGAGGAGTGGAGCGGAGGAGACACGGCAGGACGGGGAGGGAAGGAGGGGGGAAAGGTGGGGGCATCGGCCTGGAATCAACGATATCTCGCCGACAGATCGACGATACGCCCCGATAGCGAATCCGGATGGTCCTAGACGGGGTGTGCTGTCGGGCCCCATATCGGACATGAGCGGGCGATTGGGAGTCGATGCGTCCCCCCATGAGCAGCGCTGCCCCTGAAGAGTGCAAGGGCTCGGATCCATGATCCCTCGTCGCCGGCGAAAAAGACTAAGCGCTGCTTAGCCTCGAGCGCACACGCTGCTCTCGATCCAGTCGGCAAGCGTTTCCAATTCGAGCTGCGGCATCCCGCCGCAACATCGCCACAGAAACGACCCTACGTACACTGCTTAGGATATCTCCCAAAAGTGCAACCGGGAAATCGCAAGCAAGCAGAGGAATATCGTGAAAGACACGATAATATTAGGGGAGCAAACGCTCGGGACCATGTGCGCTTCCAGGCAGCTGGCACGTCACAGGGTGTCTTTGTGTCCTTCACGGTCCAAGAACACGATTTATCAACATCTGACACGATTAAGGGCCGCCAAGCCTCCAATTCCAGGGGCTCTCGAAGTTCCTCGCGTGACTCTACTCCAGCCAGGCTGTGTCCACCCTGGGGGCCTCCTTTGAGGCCCTTCTCAAGGGCCGACGATGGTATTATCAACGAGCGGCCACACATGACACATGACCAACTCGTTCACAGCAAAAAGGACATGCGGCGGGCACGGCCATCTGGAAAAGCCAATGCTGCCGCAATGGAGATGGAGAGAGTAGAAGAAGAAACAACGTCATAAGCATAAACTTTTGGCGCTACGCGCGGATTTCTTGGATCTGCGCTGGACCCCCTCCACGAGTACTTCCTCCATCCCCATCTGCTCGGGCGTTGGCAGGACTGGGTTTAGTGGGACCTGGTTTAGTGATGTGTACTGGGGGACGCCCCCCGCCCCATTCCACGGACCGGAACTGCCGTCACCCAAAAAAAAAACACCAGCTACGGCAGACCTGGATTAGTGATTCTCGCTATTTCAGGCTCCGGGGCCCTACTACTAACCGGGTCCCCTTACCTGCCCAGACATGCGACGTCCTGACTTTTTCAGGACGGCTTCCCCAGGAGCCCCGACCCCTTCCCCGGAGCCAATTTTTCATCCTGCGTCGCTGTTTGACGGCCCCAGGGCCGGGCGAGGGCCCCCAGGGGCCGAAAACAGCGAAAAGCTGGCAGCCCGGACTTTTTGTTACGACGCGATCGTGTCTGGGCGGGGTCCTGGCTATACCCGCCACTCGGGGCCCGTCCTTGCGGGCAAACCTTGTGTCCATATCCACTGCAGCTTGGGGTTTCGGACTCCCTTCCCCAGAAAGCCGAGGAGCACTGGACATGGACAGACATCAGGCCCCCACTGGAGGCTCGAACTCTATCCATGTCCAGTGCGCCTCGGCCTTGCGGCGCCCCTTCCACGAAAGTCCGAGACGCCTTGGCTGTGGATAGAAAGCTTGCCCGCAGTTCGGCGGTGAACAAACCTCCCTTTAGTAAACCTCCCCCAAGTGAAAACGGCCTGGGACCGAAACCGACGGACCTGGACCCGCAAACATGACGGCCGCGACGCCCTCTCGCGAACCGAAAACGGCAAATTCATTAATCGACGTGTCAGGGTAGGAGGTCTATCCACCCCCGAGCAGTCCTCGCTGGAGGCCTGCCGAGCGGCCGCGGCGCCGAGGACGACGCCGGCATATCCGCCGCGGGAGCGGCAGCCCCTCGAGCCGCCGGGGCCAAGACGGATCGAGGACGAAGCGAGGGAGGGGGAGGAGGAGGAGGAGGAGGAGGAGGAGGAGGACGAGGAGGGGGATTTTTTTCAACATCAACCGCAGAGAGAGGTGAGGGCCGACAGATTGAAACAGCCTGGGCTGAGACAAAAGCTGGCGGCAGCGGACCAAGGCGGTGGCCGACGCGCACGACGGGCACCCCAAGGACCGAGGTCAGTCGGAGTCGTCAGACCCCGCAGACCTAACGCGAGCAGCTCCAGCGACAAGCGGGGCCTCATCCTCCTCGGCTTGGAGGCGAAACCTTACCCTGCGGAGCTGCTCTTTCCCTACCCCCCCGCCTTGGGGGGGGGAGGGCTGACAGGTTCCCCCGCCCCCACCGCTTTGGGGGGAGAGGAGGAGGAAGAAGATCCCAGGACACCAGGCGGCCCAGCCCGTCCCGCCCCCTCCCCATTGCACGCACGAGAAGACGGCGGGACGACGGGTGGGGGGGGCGGCGCGGGCGCCTGGTTGTCGGCCGAGACGGCCGTCGCAGAGTGGCCGAGGAAGAGAGCAGCCTCATCCTCCGCCTCATAATCGTCGAAAAAGCCTGGGTGCCAATCCTGTCCCCTAGAAACACTCACAGGGACCTGGGCAGCAGGCGTGTCGGAGGCTGGGCAAGAGTCAACAGCGAGGGGCCCCTCCGAGGCGCTCGCTGGAAGATCATCCAGCCCCGTCGAGAGACTGATACCTGACTTGGGGCGCTTGCCTTTCAAAATCTCACCCCAAGCATGCATTCTACCGTGATCAGACTTACACTTACTATCTGGGGGTCCAACACACGGCCTGCCGAGGTTCCTGACTTGCCCGCCGCACGTGTAATAGCAACAGCGGGTGCAGGCGACAAGAATGCCTCCGCCCTGATTCACATCAAAGGAAATGGGTCGGTGGCCGTGGCCAAGCAAGCCCTGACCCGTGAGACCTTTGATAGTGGCCGCGCCACGGCACCTACCAGGAGGGGGCCTTTGGGACCCACGGGCACTCCGAAAACACGAGGCGCAAATCCAAAACCTGCCTTCCCAGGACCAGGAATGAGAGGGCAGAGGAGGAGGCCTCGGAGCAGAGGGGGGCTTGGTCCTGGAGGCCTCCGAAATATCGAGCTTCGGCCAGAGAGACATCACCCGAGCCGCCAGCCGACAAACAACCCTCGAGACACGCGCCGCACGCACAGCGCGATCAGCATCCCCTGGAGCAGGTGCGGGGTGCCTCAGGGCGGCAAGGCGAGCAGTCTGGTCAGCACTATCATTTCCAAACTTATGGGCACGCGCTTCTGGGGTGAGATCTGGGCTGTCAGGGACATGGCCCTTGACCTTGCTGACAGCGCTGGCGATAGGACCCAACGCCTGAAGCATGAGGCCCGCGTAAGGGCGACGAAAAGACAGCCTCACGGGGATCGGGTCGAGAGAGGCGTTGACCACATTCTGGCAGTCACTATAGATGTGGCTGCCTTCGTCCCCACACTGGGAGGCCGAACAATAAGCCGCATGCTCAGCAGCTTGAGACGTTTGGGGGAAATGCGCCAGGAGGGGGCCTGACATTACACACTGAACATCCCCTTCTTCAGAAACGCTAACCACCGACCACCCCGCCCTGGAGAGCTCTGGAGACACAACATTTCTAAAACAGGAGCCGTCTACATAGAGCCTACCGTCGAGGTTGGTGCTGCGGTTGTTCGGGTCCCCTGTCCAAGCAACCTGGATACCAGAGCCTGGGCCGTCAAGTTCATGAGCAGGGCGTGGAAGGTAATCACCTGGATGCACATATAAACCGCGGGTGTACAAAAGGTACTGCTCAGGATCGCTTTCTGCCGTGAGGTCCAGAGGAGGGACGAGCCGAGCATCTTTACCTAGTACTTCACTGCGGGTATCATCGCATGCAGGGCAGCGCCATAATCTATGAAGGATTGTGTCGTCGGCGCTGCCACATAAATCACAGAGACCATCACTCTGCTCGTAATCAGCGTCGCGTGCACGAGTCTTGGTCCACACTGCTGAGCAGGCCAAGGCTTCAATGGAGCCCTTCTCGAGCGGGGTCCACTTCGAAGACTGCAGCACGGCATACACCTGGTCGTGGCATACACGAACGGGCTGCTGGAGCGTCGGCAGGAACTTCGCTCCAGCACGACGCTCATGAAGGTACAGGACAGCCTGCCTAAGATGACGCTTCAAAAGAGCAGGGCTGACCAAAGTGAGCGGCAGGTCGATGCCGAACTGATCCCTCATCACCGTGAAACTAGGCATCGACCAGCCAATACGACGAAGGCTGAGTTTCATAGCACTGATGGGGCCCGAAACCTGCTTCCAGTTACCGGGCCCAGGTCCCAAGAACACAGACTCCCAAGACGACCTGCGTTCAGGCCAGGACAGAGTGAACGTAAACGTACGCACGTGGGTCCCCCAGAGCTCCTTGGCGTACCTCAAGATGGGGGCTATGGGCCCATAGTATGTCGGGTCTTTGTCCAGGATAACAGCTGAAGTGAGCGAGCGGGATCCAGCCTTGGGCCTGGTACAACGACCCAAAGCACGACGAGCGATACCCCATTCCCTGTCGGAGACCCCGTGGACCTCACTCCCGTAGTAGTAGCCTGGCAGGGGCCCAGTGATAAACAGCTTCCTGGAGTGCCTACCTATAGCCTGTCGTATCTTCTGCAGTCGTTTAGTCTTGTGCTTCAACGTGAGCATGCGAAGCTTGAAAACCTTCGACCGATTCGGGGCCCGACGGGGCCGTCCCGAGGTGTGATCGATCCCAAGGTTCGCTGCAGAAGAAACGACCCGCTTGCCAGCAAGTGCTCCCAGTCGCTTACGGAGAGCAACAGCAACGTGCCGATGAGATGCCACAAGGTTGGCCTTCTCATGTGAAATGCTGCCCCCGATGTCATTCACGATGGCATCGTGCAGGGAGGTGGCCGCCTCGGACAGGTCGTATATTACTTCTGAAAAAGTACCGACCGTCGACACTCCGTAATCATCGATGTAGACGTCGAGGAGGAAAAACTGGAGGAGGAGGAGGCAGAAGAGGAGGAGGCGGAGGAGGAGGAGAGATGGCGGTAGGAGAGGGAGGAGAGGAGGAGAGGGAATGTTATCAAACAGTGCACGCAGGGGGGGCGGGGAGTGGGAGGACGAGGGGTCAGAGCCAAATGGATACGGACGACGAGAGACGGGGGGAACAGGCGGAGCGAGCATCAAAAACGGTACATGCAGGGAGGGGGGCGGGGAGTGGGAGGACGGGGAGCCTGCCCACTGCTCGCGCACGAGCCCCGAGAGATCCGACGCCGTGTTTTGCTTTTGTCCGTGGCGTGGCTCCCCAGAGGCCTGGAGCTCTGCCCGAGGGGGGGGGGCTTCTCCTCCCGATTCGTTTTTGTTGCTACACCCCCGCAGGCCGAGGTGGGGGCCTCCCGAGCATCAAAAACGGTACATGCAGGGAGGGGGGCGGGGAGTGGGAGGACGGGGAGCCTGCCCACTGCTCGCGCACGAGCCCCGAGAGATCCGACGCCGTGTTTTGCTTTTGTCCGTGGCGTGGCTCCCCAGAGGCCTGGAGCTCTGCCCGAGGGGGGGGGGCTTCTCCTCCCGATTCGTTTTTGTTGCTACACCCCCGCAGGCCGAGGTGGGGGCCTCCCGAGGCCTCACGTCGTGTTTTCTGTTTGTTTGTTCGTTGAGGGAGGGAGGAGGAGGAGGAGGAGGAGGAGGAGGAGGGGATGGCGGAGGAGGGAGGGGAGGGAGGAGGAGGAGGAGGAGGGGGAAGAGGGAGGAGGAGGAGGAGGCGGAGGAGGAGGAGGAGGAGGAGGAGGAGGCGGGAGGGAGGAGGAGGCGGAGGAGGAGGAGCCCCTCCATCCCACCCCTCTGGACGGAGGCCGCCGCGGCACGCCAGAGCTGCAGGCGGCGGGGGCGGCGGGCGCGCGCGCGCGCGCCACGGGCGAGGTGGACATCCAGCCGCTGCGGTACCACAGCTCCTGTTTGCCGAGCCGCTTGACGGCTTCCCGGTGGCCCTGGTGCGGGGTGCCGTGCGCGCATCGCGCGGGCGCGCCGCCCCCCCCCCTTCCACAGATGCGAACGCTGCATGCCGTGCCCTCCTCTCTCGCTCTCTCTCTCTCTCCCCATGGTTCGGTCCGGGAGGTGTCCGCGTCCTCGCCGCGTCGTGTTTTTTTTGTGGACGCGCGGGATCTGTGGCCGGATCGTGTGCTTGCACGCTCCGAGTGACGTTCTCGGTGTCTCGACGCGGTGCTCGACTCCTCCCGCTGCAGCGTGGGCCTCATTCTCGGATCGGCAAGCTGCGCCCGTCGTTGTGAGAAGGGAGCCTTCGCTCCAGCGCGGGCCCCTTTTCTTTCAGGGCCCGGGTCCTTCATCTCGTTGTCGCCCCCCTCCTCTGCCCTCCTGCGCCGTTCCCTGGTCCTCCTGCGCCTCCCCCCCCCTTTTCCGCTCCAGTTCCCGCTGCTGCTGTTCGTCCTCGTCCTCAATGTCCGTCCTCCTCCTGCTCCTCTTCCTCGTGCTCATCCCGCTCTGTTCAATTGTGCATAGCACGAGGAGGTATGTTTGGGAACTCCAAATCCGCTGTGACTCGCGCTCGCACATTGAAAAAGAACACAACAGCGCAGTGGAACGGGGTGGGTGGCAGTAGATGTCAGATCTGGCGCGAGCGCTTCTGGCTTGACCCCTCCCCCTCCCTCCTGTCCCCCTTGTTGTCGCTGTCGCCTCCGAAGCGGTGGTGCACAAGGTGAGAGCCTTCGGTAGCAATTCATAGGGAGCCTCCCATACCATCTTGTCGGCCTTTGCTAATCGACGCGAAATCGACGCTAAATCTTCACTATCTCATCGACTCCCAGACGCCAATCGACGCTAATCGACGCTAAAGACGGAAGTGGAAGGGTATACCAGGCTCCCGTTTTCTTGCTGCCGAAAATCCCTTGATGGGCGGGGGCCTGTAGAGGTACCCGTGAGCCCCGTTGGGGTCCGTTGAATAGTCTTGAGGGCCCCGTTTGGAGCCTCACGGGGGAGACCCCACGCGCCCTCTAGTGGGCTCCTCCGACCAGCCTCTGGCGCCCTCTTGGACCGCCTGGGGGCCTCCTGAGGATCCCTTAGAAGCCCTTTGGGCCTCTTCGGGGCATCTTGGAGCCTACTGATCGGCGGCGAGCGACGGGGGGAAGCGAGAAGGAGAAGGCCCTCTCAAAGGCGGCGGGCTTCTCAGAAGCCCTCGCGCCTTCTGAGAAGTTGTCTGTGTCTTCGGGGAAGGCTTAAACGACTTCTCATAAGTCATAAGGCCGATGGACTTCCAAGCCGTCTGATAAGGCCCGCCCCTTCTCACTTCCCCCCCTCGCTCGCCGCCGAATTGACGCAGCTCAGGTTTTTATCCGAAGCACTTTTGCAACCTGGGACGGTCAAGTACACAATCCCGCTCGACACCCTGAACCATTAACCTATGGGGTCGCCTGTCTAGTGTTTATTTTGGAAGGGCGTCCCCAGGAGGGTTCGCAAATCATGGCCAGATGCACGTTCGCGGCCTGGGGGGGGGGGGGGGGGGGGGCAAATGACGTACTGAAAAAGGAACAGGGGCACGACACTCGTGGATGTCGCATGGCCCCAGCCATGATCCCCCCCCCCCTCCGAATCACTCTTGGCCGCCCCCGATTATTGCGCGAACCAGAAGATACCGATCCCGCTGCTCCCCCCAGACCTCCCCCAGGGTGCGTTATGACCAGGATTTCGAGGCGACCCAGCCGCGGCGACGAGGGCCTCCCAGGAGGCTCAAACAGGTGAGAACGAGTCATAAAGGTTGGTATCGCTACCTTCCCCTCATCTGAGCCACGCGAATGTGCGTTGCCTCCCGCGGCCGTTCGGGACGATCCGAGCACTCCCCGGAAAGCTCTCGATGACCACGAAAAAACACATCCCCAATCCCAAAATCGCGGATTCACCGAGGACTCGAAGATCGGCCAAAGATTTCGAGGTATGTTTTGCGTTCGTCGTCGCCCTGGTAAAACCCTACCCCAAAATCTCCCTCCCCGAAGTCTCGAGGAGCCTGCATTTTGTCTTGGCCCTCGCGTTTTTGGGATTGGGCATCTGTTTTGACTTAGTGACTCGACGAGGCGCAGCTGCTGAAGGTCCGCACGAGGCCGGAAAGCCTCGAGAGCAGACGAAAACTACCCCGGAAACTTGCTATGTGCTCGCCCGACGCGAGGATGCTGCCCGGGACCTCGGGCCCCCCGACGTCTCGACCCATTCCCCAGGACCAGCGTTCCATCCTGAGCCGCCTCTGCGCGGCCCCGGGGCCCAGCGAGGAGGAGGAGGAGGAGGAGGAGGAGGAGGAGGAGGAGGAGGAGGAGGAGGAGGGGGAGGGGGAGGGGGAGGAGGAGGAGGAGGAGGAGGAGGAGGAGGAGGAGGAGGAGGAGGAGGAGGAGGAGAGCCGCCCGCCGCGGAGGAAAAACAAAAAAAAAAAGACCAGGACTCATGACCAAGACGGAACGCGGAGACGTCGTACCGATCTGAGTCACCGTCCATCTTGGACAGCGTCAGGTCGTGCATCCTCCTGGCGAATCGGCGACGGCCAGCATGGACCATGACCAAGATCTCGCCATCGCTTGGCCGTCCATTCCATGTGCATTTGTCGGTTTCGTGCGTGTTTTTTACCCAAGACGCTCCTCGACGGTCCTCGCCGCGAAGAACGCACACGTCCGAGCGATGCCAAGGGATCGGCGTCGACAAGATCCCGCGACATCCTGGTCATGGTCAGCGTGCTTCTGCCCGACGCTGGGGCCTGTTCACTACGCGTGGGCGTGTCTGGGTGGTTGCCTCGGGGCCAGGGCCCACATGCCAAGTCGTTGAACGGAAAAATCAACATAAATGTCAACGTTTGGAACCACGCGCGGATGTCTTGGGTCGGCGCTGGACCCCCCTCCCTGGGGCGAGTGCGCCAGGGGCGGCGCCGGAGGCGCCGCCAGGAAAGGGCCCAGCGCATATCCAAGAAATCCACGCGGAACTCCAAAAGTTTCTGTTCGTGCCGTGTCTTCTCCTTCTTATGATTATTATTATTTGTCGTACTCGTAAAATTCTTATTCTACATCGATTTCCTCTTCTTCTTCGAGTTCCATCCCCCTCAGCCTTCCGGGAGGCCAAACAAAACGGAAGCGAGGCATGGGTAGCTGCCTCGGGGCCAGGGCCCAAATTAGAGGAAGAAGTAACGCATAGACATAAACTTTTGGCGCTCCGCGCGGACTTCTTGGATCCGCGCTGGGCCCCCCTCCCCGGCGCGCGGAGCGCGCCAGAGGCGGGGCCGGAGGCGCCGCCGGTGGGAACCCAGGCCCGGATCCAAGAAGTCCGCGCGGAGCGCCAAAAGTTTATGTTTATGCGTTTTTCCTCTTCGAAAGTGCCCATTTGATCCCTCGGCGCCGGGGGGACTGCCTCGGGGCCAAGGGCCACCACGACGCCCTTCTTGAGCCTCCGAGGAGGAAGAGGGAGGAG